GGGACACGGGGGAGAGCGATGGGGGCACGGGTTGGGGACGTGAGTGCTGGGGGCACTGGTGGTGGCCATGGGGGGGCAGCGCTAGGGATGTGGGGCTTGTCCTCATAGGATTGTCCCCCATGGGAGATTCCCCCAGTGGTGCATGTCCCCGTGGCACTGTCCCCCATGGCAGATGGTGTCCATGGGGTGTCCCCACTGGGGCCATGGGTTGGTGCTGGGGCCATGGATGGTGTCCATGGGGAGTCCCCATTGGGCCCATGGGTTAGTGCTGGGGACATGGATGGTGTCCATGGGGTGTCCCATTGAGGCCATGGATGGTGTCTATGGAGTGTCCCCATTGGGGCCATGGATGGTGCCCATGGGGTGTCCCCATTGGGGCCATGGATGGTGTCCATGGGGTGTCCCATTGAGGCCATGGATGATGTCCATGGGGTGTCCCCACTGGGGCCATGGGTTGGTGCTGGGGACATGGATGGTGTCCATGGGGAGTCCCCATTGGGCCCATGGGTTGGTGCTGGGGACATGGATGGTGTCCATGGGGTGTCCCATTGAGGCCATGGATGGTGTCCATGGGGTGTCCCCACTGGGGCCATGGGTTGGTGCTGGGGACATGGATGGTGTCCATGGGGTGTCCCCACTGGGGCCATGGGTTAGTGCTGGGGACATGGATGGTGTCCATGGGGTGTCCCATTGAGGCCATGGATGGTGTCCATGGGGTGTCCCCACTGGGGCCATGGGTTGGTGCTGGGGACATGGATGGTGTCCATGGGGAGTCCCCATTGGGCCCATGGGTTGGTGCTGGGGACATGGATGGTGTCCATGGGGTGTCCCATTGAGGCCATGGATGGTGTCCATGGGGTGTCCCCACTGGGGCCATGGGTTGGTGCTGGGGACATGGATGGTGTCCATGGGGAGTCCCCATTGGGGCCATGGGTTGGTGCTGGGGACATGGATGGTGTCCATGGGGTGTCCCCAATGGGGCCATGGGTTAGTGCTGGGGACATGGATGGTGTCCATGGGGTGTCCCATTGAGGCCATGGATGGTGTCCATGGGGTGTCCCCACTGGGGCCATGGGTTGGTGCTGGGGACATGGATGGTGTCCATGGGGAGTCCCCATTGGGGCCATGGGTTGGTGCTGGGGACATGGATGGTGTCCATGGGGTGTCCCCAATGGGGCCATGGGTTAGTGCTGGGGCCATGGATGGTATCCATGGGGTGTCCCCACTGGGGCCATGGGTTGGTGCTGGGGACCCAGGTTGGTGTCCATGGGGTGTCCCCACTGGGGCCATGGGTCAGTGCTGGGGACATGGATGGTGTCCGTGGGGAGTCCCACTGGGGCCATGGATGGTGTCCATGGGGTGTCCCCACTGGGGCCATGGGTTAGTGCTGGGGACATGGTTGGTGTCCATGGGGTGTCCCCACTGGGGCCATGGGTTGGTGCTGGGGACATGGATGGTGTCCATGGGGAGTCCCCATTGGGCCCATGGGTTAGTGCTGGGGACATGGATGGTGTCCATGGGGTGTTCCCTACTGGGGCCATGGGTTGGTGCTGGGGACCCAGGTTGGTGCCCATGGGGTGTCCCCATTAGGGCCATGGGCTAATGCTGGGGCCATGGATGGTGTCCATGGGGAGTCCCCATTGGGGCCATGGGTTAGTGCTGGGGCCATGGATGGTGTCCATGGGGAGTCCCCATTGGGGCCATGGGTTAGTGCTGGGGACATGGATGGTGTCCATGGGGTGTCCCATTGAGGCCATGGATGGTGTCCATGGGGAGCCCCATTGGGGCCATGGGTTGGTGCTGGGGACATGGATGGTGTCCATGGGGTGTCCCATTGAGGCCATGGATGGTGTCTATGGGGTGTCCCCACTGGGGCTACAGGTTGGTGCTGGGGCCATGGATGGTGTCCATGGGGTGTTCCCTACTGGGGCCATGGGTTGGTGCTGGGGACCCAGGTTGGTGCCCATGGGGTTTCCCCACTGGGGCCATGGGTTAGTGCTGGGGACTTGGATGGTGTCCATGGGGAGTCCCCATTGGGGCCATGGGTTGGTGCTGGGGACCCAGGTTGGTGTCTATGGGGTGTCCCCATTGGGGCCATGGGTTGGTGCTGGGGACATGGATGGTGTCCATGGGGAGTCCCCACTGGGGCCATGGGTTGGTGCTGGGGCCATGGATGGTGTCCATGGGGAGTCCCACTGGGGCCATGGATGGTGTCCATGGGGTGTCCCACTGGGGCCATGGATGGTGTCCATGGGGTGTCCCATTGAGGCCATGGATGGTGTCTATGGGGTGTCCCCACTGTTGCCATGGGTTGGTGCTGGGGACATGGATGGTGTCCATGGGGAGCCCCACTGGGGCCATGGATGGTGTCTATGGGGTGTCCCCATTGGGGCCATGGATGGTGTCTATGGGGAGTCCCTACTGGGGCCATGGATGGTGTCTATGGGGTGTCCCCACTGTTGCCATGGGTTGGTGCTGGGGACATGGATGGTGTCCATGGGGAGCCCCACTGGGGCCATGGATGGTGTCTATGGGGTGTCCCCATTGGGGCCATGGATGGTGTCTATGGGGGGTCCCCACTGGGGCCATGGATGGTGTCTATGGGGAGTCCCTACTGGGGCCATGGATGGTGTCTATGGAGTGTCCCCACTGGGGCCATGGATGGTGTCCATGGGGTGTCCCATTGAGGCCATGGATGGTGTCTATGGGGTGTCCCCACTGTTGCCATGGGTTGGTGCTGGGGACATGGATGGTGTCCATGGGGAGCCCCATTGGGGCCATGGATGGTGTCTATGGGGTGTCCCCATTGGGGCCATGGATGGTGTCTATGGGGGGTCCCCACTGGGGCCATGGATGGTGTCTATGGAGTGTCCCCACTGGGGCCATGGATGGTGTCCATGGGGTGTCCCCACTGGGGCCATGGGTTGGTGCTGGGGCCATGGATGGTGTCTATGGGGTGTCCCCACTGGGGCCATGGATGGTGTCTATGGGGAGTCCCCATTGGGTCAGAGCCATCACGGGGTGACCCCAGGACAGGTTCCGGGGGTCCCAGCAGTGCCGGGGGCGCCGTGGGGCAGCTCCCGGTGCCCGTCTCTTGCCGTTAATCCCCGTTAATTGGCTTTGCAGCCCCCGGGCACACGGGAGGAGGAGGAGGAGGAGCGGGGGGGGGGCACCGGGGGTAAGAGGATTTCCTGCTCCCTCTTAAGGCTCGGTCCTCGCCCGGCGCTGCTCCTGCCCAGCGGCCCCGATGCCGCGCAGCCGAGGGGACAAGGGGACCCCCAAGGGCACGGGCAAGGACGGGGACAAAGCCGCCCCCCCCCGGCCCCCCGAGGACGGCGGCAGCCGGAGCCCGGGGGCCGAGCCCCGGCACAGCGGGCACGGGAACCGGAGCGGGAGGAAGGGGGCCGGGGACCCCCATGCGGCCGCCGCCAAAACGTATTCGCCCTTCCTGAACACGGTGTTCGGCAAGGTGGGGGCAAGGGGGCGGGAGGGGGGCGAAGGGGGTGTGGGGATGAGGTGGGGATGCTCTGGGATCATTGGGATGGAGGGGACACGGGGATGAGGTTGGGGATGCTCTGGGATCATTGGGATGGAGGGGACGTGGGGATGAGGTTGGGATGCTCAGGGATGGAGGGGACATGGGGGTGAGGTGGGGATGCTCTGGGATCATTGGGATGGAGGGGACGTGGGGATGAGGTTGGGGATGCTCTGGGATCATGGGGATGGAGGGGACGTGGGGATGAGGTTGGGGATGCTCTGGGATCATTGGGATGGAGGGGACGTGGGGATGAGGTTGGGGATGCTCTGGGATCATTGGGATGGAGGGGACGTGGGGATGAGGTGGGGATGCTCTGGGATCATTGGGATGGAGGGGACGTGGGGATGAGGTGGGGATGCTCTGGGATCATTGGGATGAAGGGGACGTGGGGATGAGGTTGGGGATGCTCTGGGATCATTGGGATGGAGGGGACGTGGGGATGAGGTTGGGGATGCTCTGGGATCATTGGGATGGAGGGGACATGGGGATGAGGTGGGCATGCTCTGGGATCATTGGGATGGAGGGGACACGGGGATGAGGTTGGGGATGCTCTGGGATCATGGGGATGGAGGGGACATGGGGGTGAGGTTGGGGATGCTCTGGGATCATTAGGATGAAGGGGACGTGGGGATGAGGTTGGGGATGCTCTGGGATCATTGGGATGGAGGGGACGTTGAGGTTGGAGGGGACGTGGGGGTGAGGTGGGGATGCTCGGGGATCATTGGGATGGAGGGGACGTGGGGATGAGGTTGGGGATGCTCAGGGATGGATGGGACATGGGGGTGAGTTTGGGGATGCTCTGGGATCATTGGGATGGAGGGGACACGGGGATGAGGTTGGGGATGCTCTGGGATCATTGGGATGGAGGGGACGTGGGGATGAGGTTGGGGATGCTCTGGGATCATTGGGATGGAGGGGACGTGGGGATGAGGTTGGGGATGCTCTGGGATCCCAGGGATGGAGGGGACACGGGGATGAGGTTGGGGATGCTCTGGGATCATTGGGATGGAGGGGACGTGGGGATGAGGTTGGGGATGCTCTGGGATCATTGGGATGGAGGGGACGTGGGGATGAGGTTGGGGATGCTCTGGGATCATTGGGATGGAGGGGACGTGGGGATGAGGTTGGGGATGCTCTGGGATCATTGGGATGGAGGGGACGTGGGGATGAGGTTGGGGATGCTCTGGGATCATTGGGATGGAGGGGACACGGGGATGAGGTTGGGGATGCTCTGGGATCATTGGGATGGAGGGGACGTGGGGATGAGGTTGGGGATGCTCTGGGATCATTGGGATGGAGGGGACACGGGGATGAGGTTGGGGATGCTCTTTGACAATGGGGATGGAGGGGACACGGGGATGAGGTTGGGATGCTCTGGGATCATTGGGATGGAGGGGACACGGGGATGAGGTTGGGATGCTCTGGGATCATTGGAATGGAGGGGACACAGGGGTGAGGTTGGGGATGCTCTGGGATCATTGGGATGGAGGGGACGTGGGGATGAGGTTGGGGATGCTCTGGGATCATGGGGATGGAGGGGACACGGGGATGAGGTTGGGGATGCTCTGGGATCATTGGGATGGAGGGGACACGGGGATGAGGTTGGGGATGCTCTGGGATCATTGGGATGAAGGGGACGTGGGGATGAGGTTGGGGATGCTCTGGGATCCCAGGGATGGAGGGGACGTGGGGATGAGGTTGGGGATGCTCTGGGATCATTGGGATGGAGGGGACGTGGGGATGAGGTTGGGGATGCTCTGGGATCATTGGGATGAAGGGGACGTGGGGATGAGGTTGGGGATGCTCTGGGATCCCAGGGATGGAGGGGACGTGGGGATGAGGTTGGGGATGCTCTGGGATCCCAGGGATGGAGGGGACACGGGGATGAGGTTGGGGATGCTCTGGGATCATTGGGATGGAGGGGACGTGGGGATGAGGTTGGGGATGCTCTGGGATCATTGGGATTGGGGGAGGTTGGATGCTCTGGGACATTGGGATGAGGGGACGTGGGGATGAGGTTGGGGATGCTCTGGGATCATTGGGATGAAGGGGACACGGGGATGAGGTTGGGGATGCTCTGGGATCATTGGGATGAAGGGGACGTGGGGGTGAGGTTGGGGATGCTCTGGGATCCCAGGGATGAAGGGGACACGGGGATGAGGTTGGGGATGCTCTGGGATCATTGGGATGGAGGGGACGTGGGGATGAGGTTGGGGATGCTCTGGGATCATTGGGATGAAGGGGACACAGGGATGAGGTTGGGGATGCTCTGGGATCATGGGGTTGGAGGGGAGGTGGGGGTGAGGTGGGGATGCTCCTGGACCCCTGGCATGGGTGCTGGGGCCAGCGCAGGGCCCCGGGGCCACCCCTGGGGAGGGGGCAGGGGGAGCTCTGCAGGGGGACGGGCGCTGCTCCCCCCTCCCCAGGCTCCCAAAGCCCCCCCAGCAGCACCCATGGGTGCCGGCAGGTGCGGGGGGGGGGCGGGAGGAGGGGCCCCGGGCCAAGGCTTTGCTCCAATCCCGTTAATCCCTCCCGCGGGGCTAATTCTGACCCAGCACACGGAAGGTGACTGGGGGGGGGGGAATAGGGGGGGTTGGTGCTGAGCCGGGGCTGAGGCTGGTCCCATCCCCCCCCCCCGTGTGTGGCCGGTTCAGGAGAGGGAGCTGTCACCGGAGGAGCTGGATGGTGAGAGGGGACCGGGGGCACGGGGGGGCACGGGCCATGGGGGACAATGGTGCTATGGGGACAGGAAATATGGAGGGGTGTCCCATAGGGTGGCAGTGCCATGGGGATGGGTGCCATGGATGGGTCTCCTATAGGGTGCAGTGCAATGGGGATGGGCACCATGGATGGATCCCCTATAGGGTGCAGTGCAATGGGGATGGGCACCATGGATGGATCCCCTATAGGGTGCAGTGCAATGGGGATGGGCACCATGGATGGATCCCCATGGGTGCAGTGCAATGGGGATGGAGGGGCACCATGGGGATGGATCCCACAGAGGGTGCAGTGCAATAGGGATGGGCACCATGGATGGATCCCCATAGGGTGCAGTGCAATGGGGATGGGCACCATGGATGGATCTGCCATAGGGTGCAGACAATGGTGGATGGGCACCATGAATGGATCTCCCATAGGGTGTCAGTGCCATGGGATGGGTGCCATAGAGGGCTCTGATGTGGGGACAATGGTGCCATGGGGAGATGCACCATGGAGGGGTGTCCCATAGGGTGTCAGTGCCATGGGGATGGGTGCCATGGATGGGTCCCCTATAGGGTGCAGTGCAATGGGGATGGGCACCATGGATGGATCCCCTATAGGGTGCAGTGCAATGGGGATGCAGTGCAATGGGGATGGGCCCCATGGATGGTTCCCCTATAGGGTGCAGTGCAATGGGGATGGGCACCATGGATGGGCTCTGATAGGTTGCAGTGCAATGGGGATGGGCACCATGGATGGATCCCCTATAGGGTGCAGTGCAATGGGGATGGGCACCATGGATGGATCCCCTATAGGGTGCAGTGCAATGGGGATGGGCACCATGGATGGATCCCCTATAGGGTGCAGTGCAATAGGGATGCGTGCCATAGTGGGCTCTGACCTGGGGGACAATGGTGCCATGGTGACATGTGCTATGGAGGGGTGTCCCATAGGGTGTCAGTGCCATGGGGATGGGTGCCATGGATGGGTCTCCTATAGGGTGCAGTGCAATGGGGATGGGCACCATGGATGGATCCCCTATAGGGTGCAGTGCAATGGGGATGGGCACCATAGAGGGCTCTGCCATGGGGGACAATGGTGCTATGGGGACATGAAATATGGAGGGGTCTCCCATAGGGTGGCAGTGCCATGGGGATGGGCACCATAGAGGGCTCTGATGTGTTGGGGCAATGGTGCTATGGGGACAGGAAATATGGAGGGGTCTCCCATAGGGTGCAGTGCAATGGGGATGGGCACCATGGATGGATCCCCTATAGGGTGCACTGCAATAGGGATGCGTGCCATAGTGGGCTCTGACCTGGGGGACAATGGTGCCATGGTGACATGTGCTATGGAGGGGTGTCCCATAGGGTGTCAGTGCCATGGGGATGGGTGCCATGGATGGATCCCCTATAGGGTGCAGTGCAATAGGGATGGGCACCATAGAGGTGGTGCCATGGGGGACAATGGTGCTATGGGGACATGCACTATGGAGGGGCAGTGCCATGGGGATGGGTGCCATAGAAGGCTCTGACGTGGGGAACAATGGTGCTATTGGTAACATGCACCATGGAGGGGTCTCCCATAGGGTGTCAGTGCCATGGGGATGGGCACCATGGATGGATCCCCTATAGGGTGCAGTGCAATAGTGATAGGCAACATAAAGGTCTCTGCGATGGGGGACAATGGTGCTATGGGGACATGCACCATGAATGGATCTCCCATAGGGTGTCAGTGCCATGGGGATGGGCACCATAGAGGGCTCTGCCATGGGGGACAATGGTGCTATGGGGACATGACTATGGAGGGGTCTCCCATAGGGTGCAGTGCCATGGGGATGGGTGCCATGGATGGGTCTCCTATAGGGTGCAGTGCAATGGGGATGGGCACCATGGATGGATCCCGTATAGGGTGCAGTGCAATGGGGATGGGCACCATAGTGGGCTCTGACCTGGGGGACAATGGTGCCATGGTGACATGCGCTATGGAGGGGTGTCCCATAGGGTGGCAGTGCCATGGGGATGGGCACCATAGAGGGCTCTGCCATGGGGGACAATGGTGCTATGGGGACATGCACCATGAATGGATCTCCCATAGGGTGGCAGTGCCATGGGGATGGGCGCCATAGAAGGCTCTGCCATGGGGGACAATGGTGCTATGGGGATATGAAATATGGAGGGGTCTCCCATAGGGTGTCAGTGGCATGGGGATGGGTGCCATAGAGGGCTCCGATGCCATGGGGGACAATGGTGCTATGGGGACATGCACCATGGAGGGGTCTCCCATAGGGTGCAGTGCCATGGGGATGGGTGCCATAGAGGGCTCTGCCATGGGGGACAATGGTGCCATGGGGAGATGCACCCTGAATGGATCTCCCATAGGGTGCAGTGCAATGGGGATAGGCACCATGAATGGATCTCCCATGGGGGACAGTGCCATGGGGATGGGCACGGTAGAGGGACAGTAGTGCCAATAAGGACATGTGCAACGCATGGGTCTGCCATGGGGTGAAGTGCTATGGGGATACATGCTATGGAGGGATCATCCAATGGGGACAATGGTACTGACATGAAAGGATCTCCAATGGGGTTCAGTGACGTAGGGATGGGTGCCATGGAAGGGTCTCCAATGGGTTCAGTGCCATAGGGATGGGTGCCATGGAAGGGTCTCCCATTGGGTTCAGTGCCATAGAGATGGGTGCCATGGAAGTGTCTCCAATGGGTTCAGTGCCATAGGGATGGGTGCCATGGAAGGGTCTCCAATGGGGTTCAGTGCCATAGGGATGGGTGCCATGGAAGGGTCTCCAATGGGTTCAGTGCCATAGGGATGGGTGCCATGGAAGTGTCTCCAATGGGTTCAGTGCCATAGGGATGGGTGCCATGGAAGTGTCTCCAATGGGTTCAGTGCCATAGGGATGGGTGCCATGGAAGTGTCTCCAATGGGTTCAGTGCCATAGGGATGGGTGCCATGGAAGTGTCTCCAATGGGTTCAGTGCCATAGAGATGGGTGTCATGGAAGGGTCTCCAATGGGTTCAGTGCCATAGAGATGGGTGTCATGGAAGGGTCTCCAATGGGTTCAGTGCCATAGAGATGGGTGTCATGGAAGGGTCTCCAATGAGTTCAGTGCCATAGAGATGGGTGACATGCAAGGGTCTCCAATGGGGTTCAGTGCCATAGGGATGGGTGTCATGGAAGGGTCTCCAATGGGTTCAGTGCCATAGGGATGGGTGCCATGGAAGGGTCTCCAATGGGTTCAGTGCCATAGAGATGGGTGACATGGAAGGGTCTCCAAAGGGGTTCAGTGCCATAGGGATGGGTGCCATGGAAGTGTCTCCAATGGGTTCAGTGCCATAGGGATGGGTGCCATGGAAGTGTCTCCAATGGGTTCAGTGCCATAGAGATGGGTGTCATGGAAGGGTCTCCAATGGGTTCAGTGCCATAGAGATGGGTGTCATGGAAGGGTCTCCAATGAGTTCAGTGCCATAGAGATGGGTGACATGCAAGGGTCTCCAATGGGGTTCAGTGCCATAGAGATGGGTGACATGCAAGGGTCTCCAATGGGGTTCAGTGCCATAGGGATGGGTGCCATGGAAGGGTCTCCAATGGGTTCAGTGCCATAGGGATGGGTGCCATGGAAGGGTCTCCAATGGGTTCAGTGCCATAGGGATGGGTGACATGCAAGGGTCTCCAATGGGGTTCAGTGCCATAGGGATGGGTGCCATGGAAGGGTCTCCAATGGGTGCAGTGCCATAGGGATGGGTGCCATGGAAGGGTCTCCAATGGGTGCAGTGCCATAGGGATGGGTGCCATGGAAGGCTCTCCAAAGGGGTTCAGTGCCATAGAGATGGGTGTCATGGAAGGGTCTCCAATGGGTTCAGTGCCATAGGTATGGGTGCCATGGAAGGCTCTCCAATGGGTGCAGTGCCATAGGGATGGGTGCCATGGAAGGCTCTCCAATGGGTGCAGTGCCATAGAGATGGGTGACATGCAAGGGTCTCCAATGGGGTTCAGTGCCATAGGGATGGGTGCCATGGAAGGGTCTCCCATTGGGTTCAGTGCCATAGAGATGGGTGCCATGGAAGGGTCTCCAATGGGTTCAGTGCCATAGAGATGGGTGCCATGGAAGGGTCTCCAAAGGGGTTCAGTGCCATAGGGATGGGTGCCATGGAAGGGTCTCCAATGGGTTCAGTGCCATAGGGATGGGTGCCATGGAAGTGTCTCCAATGGGTTCAGTGCCATAGAGATGGGTGCCATGGAAGTGTCTCCAATGGGTTCAGTGCCATAGAGATGGGTGTCATGGAAGGGTCTCCAATGGGTTCAGTGCCATAGAGATGGGTGTCATGGAAGGGTCTCCAATGGGTTCAGTGCCATAGAGATGGGTGTCATGGAAGGGTCTCCAATGGGTTCAGTGCCATAGAGATGGGTGCCATGGAAGGGTCTCCAATGGGTTCAGTGCCATAGAGATGGGTGGAAGGGTCTCCAATGGGTTCAGTGCCATAGGGATGGGTGCCATGGAAGGGTCTCCAATGGGTGCAGTGCCATAGAGATGGGTGCCATGGAAGGGTCTCCAATGGGTTCAGTGCCATAGAGATGGGTGCCATGGAAGGGTCTCCAAAGGGGTTCAGTGCCATAGGGATGGGTGCCATGGAAGTGTCTCCAATGGGTTCAGTGCCATAGGGATGGGTGCCATGGAAGTGTCTCCAATGGGTTCAGTGCCATAGAGATGGGTGCCATGGAAGTGTCTCCAATGGGTTCAGTGCCATAGAGATGGGTGTCATGGAAGGGTCTCCAATGGGTTCAGTGCCATAGAGATGGGTGTCATGGAAGGGTCTCCAATGGGTTCAGTGCCATAGAGATGGGTGTCATGGAAGGGTCTCCAATGGGTTCAGTGCCATAGAGATGGGTGCCATGGAAGTGTCTCCAATGGGTTCAGTGCCATAGAGATGGGTGTCATGGAAGGGTCTCCAATGAGTTCAGTGCCATAGAGATGGGTGACATGCAAGGGTCTCCAATGGGGTTCAGTGCCATAGAGATGGGTGACATGCAAGGGTCTCCAATGGGGTTCAGTGCCATAGGGATGGGTGCCATGGAAGGGTCTCCAATGGGTTCAGTGCCATAGGGATGGGTGCCATGGAAGGGTCTCCAATGGGTTCAGTGCCATAGGGATGGGTGACATGCAAGGGTCTCCAATGGGGTTCAGTGCCATAGGGATGGGTGCCATGGAAGGGTCTCCAATGGGTGCAGTGCCATAGGGATGGGTGCCATGGAAGGGTCTCCAATGGGTGCAGTGCCATAGGGATGGGTGCCATGGAAGGCTCTCCAAAGGGGTTCAGTGCCATAGAGATGGGTGTCATGGAAGGGTCTCCAATGGGTTCAGTGCCATAGGTATGGGTGCCATGGAAGGCTCTCCAATGGGTGCAGTGCCATAGGGATGGGTGCCATGGAAGGCTCTCCAATGGGTGCAGTGCCATAGGGATGGGTGCCATGGAAGGGTCTCCCATTGGGTTCAGTGCCATAGAGATGGGTGCCATGGAAGGGTCTCCAATGGGGTTCAGTGCCATAGGGATGGATGCCATGGAAGGGTCTCCAATGGGGTTCAGTTCCATAGGGATGGGTGCCATGGAAGGGTCTCCAATGGGTGCAGTGCCATAGGGATGGGTGCCATGGAAGGGTCTCCAATGGGTTCAGTGCCATAGGGATGGGTGCCATGGAAGTGTCTCCAATGGGTTCAGTGCCATAGGGATGGGAGCCATGGAAGGGTCTCCAATGGGTTCAGTGTCATAGGGATGCGTGCCATGGAAGGGTCTCCAATGGGTTCAGTGCCATAGAGATGGGTGTCATGGAAGGGTCTCCAATGAGTTCAGTGCCATAGAGATGGGTGCCATGGAAGGCTCTCCAATGGGTGCAGTGCCATAGGGATGGGTGCCATGGAAGGGTCTCCCATTGGGTTCAGTGCCATAGAGATGGGTGCCATGGAAGGGTCTCCAATGGGTTCAGTGCCATAGAGATGGGTGCCATGGAAGGGTCTCCAAAGGGGTTCAGTGCCATAGGGATGGATGCCATGGAAGGGTCTCCAATGGGTTCAGTGCCATAGGGATGGGTGCCATGGAAGGGTCTCCCATTGGATTCAGTGTCATAGGGATGGGTGCCATGGAAGGGTCTCCAATGGGGTTCAGTGCCATAGGGATGGGTGCCATGGAAGGGTCTCCAATGGGGTTCAGTGCCATAGGGATGGATGCCATGGAAGGGTCTCCAATGTGTTCAGTGCCATAGGGATGGGTGCCATGGAAGGGTCTCCAATGGGTTCAGTGCCATAGGGATGGGTGCCATGGAAGGTTCTCCAATGGGGTTGCGTGCCATAGGGATGGGTGCCATGGAAGGGTCTCCATTGGGTTCAGTGCCTTGGGGCCACCACCCCATCACCCCATCAAGCGAGGCCCCTACCCCGGGGTGACGTGGGCCCACGGGCACCCCATTGGGGGCGATCCATCGCCCTCCACCCCTGATGGGTGTCCCCGTGCCCCAGAGCTGCTGGACGCCTTCAAGGAGTTCGACACGGACCAGGATGGGTTCATCAGCTACAAGGACCTGGGCCCCTGCATGCGCACGCTGGGGTACATGCCCACCGAGATGGAGCTCATCGAGATCTCCCAGCACATCAAGATGAGGAGTGAGCGTGGGGCGGGCTATGGGGGGGCTATGGGGGGGGCTATGGGGTGCTGAGGTTATCCCTGCCCCACTGCAGTGGGCGGGCGAGTGGACTTTGAGGACTTCGTGCAGATGATGGGCCCGAAGCTGCGGGAGGAGACGGCTCACATGGTGGGCGTGCGGGAGCTCCGGATCGCCTTCCGAGAGGTGTGGATGTGGGGCACTGGGATATGGGGAGGGGATAATGGGATGTGGGGGGACAGCGGCCATGCGGGGATCATGGCGAGGTCATGACCACGGGGGTGACCATGAGCATGGTGACCATGGGAAGACCATGGGGTGATGGTGACCATAGGCATGGAGGGGATGAAGAACATGGGGAGACCATGGAGAAGACAGTGACCATGGGATAGTCCATGGGGAGACCATGACCATGGGGGAATGGTGACCATGGGGGTAACCATAGGCATGGAGGTGATGATGACCATGGGAAGACCATGGGGTGACAGTGACTGTGGTGGGTACAATGACCATAGGCATGGAGGGGATGATGACCATGGCAAGACCATGGGGTGACAGTGACTGTGGTGGGTACAATGACCATAGGCATGGAGGGGGACCATGGCCATGGGGAAATGGTGACCACAGGCATGGAGGGGACGATGACCATGGCAAGACCATGGTGGGGTCAATGACCATGGGGTGATGACAGTCATGGACAGGACAATGACCATAGGAAGACCATGGGGACACCACGACCACAGGGGACCGGTGACCATGGGGCTGACCACATGGGGCGCCCCTGGAGGGTGCCGTTGGTGCCCCCCCCAACCCCGTGGGCCCCACAGTTCGACGCGAACGGGGACGGGGAGATCAGCAGTGGGGAGATGCGGGCGGCCATCGCGGCGCTGCTGGGCGAGCAGCTCAAGGCGCACGAGGTGGATGAGATCCTGCAGGACGTGGACCTCAATGGGGACGGGCGCGTGGACTTCGATGGTGAGGGGGGGTGTCCCCCCCATAGCCCCCCCATAGCCCCCCCCCCCATGGCCACGGCTCAGCCCTGGGGTCCCCTCACACCCCCTTTGTCACCCGCAGAGTTCGTTATGATGCTGTCGTCCCGGTGATGAAGCCTGGGGACAAGGCGGGACCCCCCCTCCCTCCCCACAACCCGCCCCTGGTCCTGCCCAGCCCCAGCTCGCTGCCATCAGTAGGGGTCAGAGTGAACAACCGGAGCCGAGCCTGCAATGGGCAATGGGGCAGGGGTGGGACCCCGATGGGGGCGATGGCAGGGCTCGGGACCAATAAACCCCCTGGATCGGAGCTGGGGGAGTGTCTGTTGGTCCATGGGGTGGGATTGGCACCAGCCCCAGCCCATCATGAGCCATGGGGCAGTGCCTGGGGTCCCATAGGGGATAGGGAGAGGCTGCTGGAACCCATGGGGGTGAGGGGGAGACAGGAGGAGAAGGCAGGAGCCAGGGTAGAGGCAGGGTTCAAGGGGTACAGGCAGAGCTCAATGGGTACAGGCAGGGTTCAAGGGGTACAGGCAGGGTTCAAGGGGTACAGGCAGAGCTCAAGGGGTACAGGCAGGGCTCAAGGGGTACAGGCAGGGCTCAATGGGTACAGGCAGAGCTCAATGGGTCCAGACAGAGCTCAATGGGTCCAGGCAGAACTCAATGGCTACAGGCAGAGCTCAATGGGTCCAGGCAGAGGTCAATGGGTGCAGGTAGAGCTCGAGGGGTACAGGCAGAGCTCAATGGCTACAGGCAGAGCTCAATGGGTACAGGCAGAGCTCAATGGGTACAGGCAGAGCTCACTGGGTGCAGGCAGAGCTCAATGGGTGCAGGCAGAGCTCAATGGGTACGGGCAGAGCTCAATGGGTGCAAGCAGAGCTCACTGGGTACAGGCAGAGGTCAATGGGTACGGGCAGGGCTCAATGGGTACGGGCAGGGCTCAATGGGTGCAGGCAGAGCTCAATGGGTGCAGGCAGAGCTCACTGGGTGCAAGCAGAGCTCACTGGGTACAGGCAGAGCTCACTGGGTGCAGGCAGAGCTCAATGGGTACGGGCAGAGGTCAATGGGTACAGGTAGGTCAGTGCCAACCTGTGTTCCACCATTGGTTGGATGATCCATTGCTGTAACCAACCAGCCAATCAGCACCCCCTAACGAACGGGCACCGCAGTGGAATATCCGCTCAATGTGACGTATGCTCAAACCACCTGGCCAATCAGCGTGAAGGAGGGCATAGGCTAAACCAATCAGCAAAGAGCACCGTGCTGGCCAATAAACACACGCCTCCCGCTCCCAATAGCCAATCAGCGCGCGGGGAGGAGGGCTCTATTGGGTTATGTCCCCCGTCCCCCCCCCAAAAAAGCCACCCTGGGGCAGGGGTGGCTCCACTGGGGCTCGAACCCAGGACCTTCTGCGTGTAAAGCAGACGTGATCACCCCTACACCATGGAGCCGCCGCGGGGGCTGCCCCGAGGGTCCCGGGTTCGAGTCCCGCCTCAGCCGCTGCGGTCACTGGGGAAGGGGGGACACAGCACGGAGGGACCCCAGAACGGAGCCGTATGGGGCCAGCGTGGTGGGGACGAGGGGGGGGGAATGAGCCCCAAGGGGTTCTGGCAGCCCCCGGCTCCCTTTGCTTGCGGGGGACACAACAACAGCCCCCGGGACCCTCAAACTGAGGCGTTTTCGGGGGGGGGCAAAGAGGGTCCTGAACACTGGCATCAGGACCCAGGTAAAGGGGAGGAGGAGGAAGATGATGATGATGATGGCTGGGGACTGCGGGGCCCCCCCAAGCGCCCATAGGGCTGCCCGGATAGCTCAGCCGGTAGAGCATCAGACTTTTAATCTGAGGGTCCAGGGTTCAAGTCCCTGTTCGGGCGTGCTTCCCTTTACCTTTTTTGGGGGGGGGTGTGCAGGAGGACCGAAGGGATGGGGGAATCCGTGAGCTGCCAAAGAACAGCGGGTACCCCAAAATCAGCCCGCCCCCAATCCCCATGGAGCAGGCGGAGCCGGGCTGGGGCAGTCACAGGTTTTAATTTAGTTTTTCCTGGAAAAAAAAAAAAAAGGGGGAAAAAAAAAAGGAAAAAAAAAAAAAGGCATCATCCACCCCCATTGCAGGTGTGGGGTGCAGGGACCCCCCCCTGTGGGTCAGGTTTGGGGTGCAGGGACCCCCCCCCAGCCCCTGTAGTGTTTGGGGGTGCAGGGTCCTGCTGCGCCCTGGGGAGAACCTGGGACCTCAACACCCCCCCCCCTTGCCCTAAACCTACAGCGAAGGCACCTGGAGGGGGAGCCCCGTGTTTTTTTGGGGGGGGGGGTACACAACACCCCAAACCCAAGGGTGATGTGGGCAGGGGGAGAAGGGGACCCCGGTTGCGCTCTACATATATATAATATACACCTATAGAACAGGCTGTGGGGCAGGGTCTGCCCCCCCCCCCCCCCTCCCCGCACCCCAAATGTGTGGGGCTGAATGGGAACCAAATGATTAAGAGGGGGGGATGAGACCAAGGCCAGCCTCGGGCTCGCCCCGCTGCGCCCCCCCCTGGGGCTCACAGGACCCATGGCCCCAGCCCCATAGCGCTATGGGATGAAGGAGACCCCCATGGTTTGGTGAGGGGGGTGTGTGTGTGTGTTGGGGGGGGGGGGTCCTGCCGGCTCCCGCTCGCCCCATGGCATCGAGGGCATTGGATGGGGCTAAGGCACCCCCCGGCGAGGCGCGGGGAGGACGGGGTGGTTAAAACAGGCGATGGATGGAGGGAGGGATGGGATGGAGGGAGCCGGTCGGTGCCAGGGCTCTCGGCCGGGCATCCCTGCCCTCTGCTCCTCCTCCTCCTCCTCCTCCTCCTCTTCCTCCTGGCTCAGAAAATGTCCGGGCAGAGGCTCCAGTCCTGCTTCTCTTTGCTCTCCCAGTACCCGCCCTTGTAGACGTGCGCCAGCTCCTGCGTGACCGGGTCCTTCCTGCGCTCGAACCACAGCGGCTTGTAGGGGTCGTAGGGGGTTCCTGGGGGCGCGCAGGGAAGCCATGGGTCAGGATGCAGCCAAGGGCACCCATGGCACCGAGAGCAACGGGACGGTGCCTGAGCACCCTCTGGGGCAGGAATTGTTCCTCAGCTCCATCTAAACCTGCCCTGGGGCAGCTTGAGGCCGGTTCCTCTTGTCCCATCCCTTGTTCCTTGGGAGCAGAGCCCAGCCCCTCCTGGCTCCATCCTCCTCTCAGGCAGTTGCAGGCAGCCATCAGGTCCCCCCTGAGCCTTCTCTTCTCCACACTGAACCCCCCAGCTCCCTCAGCCCTTCCCCATCACACTTGGGCTCCAGGCCCTGCTCCAGCTCCGTTCCCTTCTCTGGCCCCGCTCCAGCACCTCAAGGTCTCTCTTGCAGTGAGGGGCCGGGAGCTGAGCACAGGATTCGAGGTGCAGCCTCCCCAGTGCCCAGCACAGGGTCCCAATCCCTGCCCCGGCACCGGTGCCTCTTTCCTCACCGTCCTCGGTGGCTCTGGCAGCTTCGGCCTCGCGTCTCTTGCGGCTCAGCCGCTGCTTCTCCTCCAGCCTCTGCTTCTCGGCGTTGGCCTCATCCCAGCGCCCGTTCTCCATGAGGCGCTGGTCCGGGCGCCGGCGGCTGTCGGTGGGCGCCGTGCCGCTCTCCGGCGCGTTCAGGGTCAGCGCCAGCTCCGAGAAGTAGTACATGTTCTCGGCGTACTTCCTACGGGAGCACAGCGCCGTGCTCAGGCCCTAACCCCTGATCCCCCCCCATCCCATCCCTGCATCCCACCCCGGTCCCAACTCACGGCAGCGGGTTCCTCTTCCACAGCAGCACCCGGCTCTCCTCGGCCTCGTGGGCTCTCTGCCTTCCCTCGGCGCCGTTGTCGCCGGGGCCCAGGCTCACCCGGTAGCAATCCATCTTCTCATCCCAAGTGCCCAGCAGGACGAAATGCACCTTCCCGGCGGGGTCCGTCACCTCCCCGGTGACCTGATGGGACAAGGGACAGGGTGAAACACATCCCCTCTCCTTCCCGGATCCATGGGGGGGGAATCGCGTGCATCCCGCCTCGGTGCCTATCCCACCTTCCTCGCCACGTCCCGGGAGAAGTAGCTGTAGGGAACGAACTTGAGGTTGCATTTGTCCCCCGTCTTGTGGTTGACGATCTCGATTTCACCTGACTGCAGGGAGGAGAGGCTCGGATCCAGCCCCATCGCCCGGGACGCGGAGGGATGGATGGATGGGTCCATGCTTCCCTGCACGCCTCAACACGTACAGGGCGGGGGTTCCATCCCACCTGGTCGATCCAGAGCTTGCCCACGATGATGTTGTGCACGGTGGTGGTGACCTTCTTCCACGTGTAGTGGTTGCCAGTGGAGTGGAAGACGCAGTGGATGGTGCCTGAGGCGGCGGGGAGGCGCGTTGGGAGCCGTCCTTCAACCAACCCCATCACCCAACCACCCCCAGGGCTCCGGCGCTCACCCAAAGGCATCACCGAGAGGTATTTGCCTCGGAACTTGCTGGTGATCTTGATCTCCTGGCGCAGCGTCCACCCGTGCTTGGAGTCAGCGTGATGGGCAGCGGCGGGGGGGTGATGGCTCACCTGGACCGGCAGCGGTGAGGGGGGATAAATGGGTTCCAACCATGGCCATCAGAGCCAAGGAGGGGCTGGAGGAGCGGGGTGCAGGGGGTTACCTGCTCACAGAGGGAGCGGTAGCCGCTCTCCTCCAAGCGGTCCAGCTCGAAGGTCTCACCCAGGAGCGGGTTGAAGGGTTTGCTGGTGCGGAAGACGGTGGTGGAATAGGAGGAGACGGTGAAGGCGGCCACGTAGCAGAGCTGCTCCAAGGAGCTCTCGCACCGGGCCGCCCGGTCCAGCAGCTCGTGGTACTCCAGGTCCTCGGTCAAGCGCTGCAGCATGGACAGGGGCTCGTTGAAGTTCACCTGGAGGGGAGGAAAACAAAGAGGGTTTTTTTTTTGGGGGGGGTGTTTCTGAGCTTCCCCCCCATCCCCATCCCATCACCTGCGCTCGCACTCACAGGCATGGGGATCTTGGATAACTCCTTCCCGATGCAGTTCTTCATGATGCTCCAGAGGTTGAGGCTGTAGTTGGGTTTGTAAGGGATGCGGGTTCTCTTCTCCTTCTTGGTGTCTTCCACTTGGGGCTTGTACTGGGGGGGGGGAAAGGTGAGCAGAGCTGCTGTAACCCCCCCCCAACCCTCTGCAGCCACTGGGGTACCCCCTCATCCCATCCCAACCCATGCACACGGCATGGGAACCCCCATTACCTGCTCATCCAGGCTGATGTCGCTGCTGGTGCCA